CTCGCTGGCAGCGCCCCAGGACCGCCTGGTGGAGCAGCTGCTGTCGCCGCGGACCCAGGCCCAGAGGCGGCTCAAGGTGTGTCTGGAGCGGGGAGTGGAATGTGGGTCAGTGTGTGTGCGCCCGCCGGGGCCCGGTCCCGAGGGGCTCTGGGACGTGCCAAGGACCGCCAGGGCCAGGGTCCGCAGGGGTGGGCCGTGGGGCCCCGCAGGCGGAGGAGGCTCCGTGCCGCTGTCTATAAATAGCCCCTGCTCCGCCTTGGTAGCAGCGGCCAGCCACCCCCGCTGCTGGATCACGGCCAGATGGGGCCTGCCACCCCCTGGTACACTGGGGGGGAGGGGGGGAGTATTGAGGCCAGGGGGCTTCTCCGGCCTGGGGAGGGGTCTTGGTCCTGGCGCCCTCTTCCCACCACCCAAGGGAGGGCAGCCTGTGCCTGCTGCAGCGGGACATCCCAAACTCTACACACACAGACACATTGTCAGGTCCCTGCAAAGCTCCCTCACTGAGGCTGGGGCAAGGATGCCTGCCACCCCCTTACCTGCCTTTCCACTGCCAGGCCTTTGCCCACAGGCCCTCACCCCATTTGTGCCATTGAAACTCCCCACCCAGGGGACTCCGCCCTTTGCTGCCTCCATGTCTGAGCCAGCTAGGGATCGGGGCACCAGACTGCCCCAGGAACCCCAGCATGCCCCTGACTTGCCCCCGCCCCGGCCCCCAGGATATCGACAAGCAGTACGTGGGCTTCGCCACACTGCCCAATCAGGTGCACCGGAAGTCTGTGAAGAAGGGCTTCGATTTCACGCTCATGGTGGCTGGTGAGTGGGCTGGACTCCCAGGTAGGGTGGCTTGGGCCATTAGCCAGCCAGGCTCTGTCACAGGGGCCTCAGACTTAACCTGACTCTTCCACTATACCTGCTGGCAGGTGAGTCGGGCCTGGGGAAGTCCACACTGGTCCACAGCCTCTTCCTGACCGACTTGTACAAGGACCGGAAGCTGCTCAGTGCTGAGGGTGAGTGGGCCCCAGGCAGCCCTGGTACTGGTTCCCCATCCCCTGCTCTGTGATCCCTCAAAGGGTCCAGACCCTGCTCCTCTTTTCCCACAGCATGGATCTCCTGTTCAGGGTCCAGGAGGAGCGGCCCAGATCATAATCAGGCCAGGGCCAAGACACTAGAAGGAATGAGAACAAGGGTCCTGGCTGCCCAGTGGGGGTGGGGGCTGAGAGTTGGAGAGACCCCCTCCAGGCAATGCCCCCCCCCCCCCCAGAGCGCATCAGCCAGACTGTAGAGATCCTGAAGCACACGGTGGACATTGAGGAGAAGGGGGTGAAGCTGAAGCTCACCATCGTAGACACGCCAGGCTTCGGGGATGCTGTCAACAACTCGGAGTGGTGAGCAAAGCCCTGCTGGGAGACAGTCTCTGCCTAGGCTGGCCCAGCCTCCCCTCTGGCCTCACAGACCCTCCTGTCCCCCTGCAGCTGGAAGCCCATCACGGACTACGTGGACCAGCAGTTTGAGCAGTACTTCCGCGACGAGAGCGGGCTCAACCGCAAGAACATCCAAGACAACCGTGTGCACTGCTGCCTGTATTTCATCTCCCCTTTTGGGCACGGGTGCGTGCATGGCCCGGGGACAGGCTCGGTGGGGGGGCACCCGCCGCCACGGATCCCCACGGCTGTACCGGCCGCGGCCTATCCCTTGCCCGTGTGCCCATAAGCATGCCCTCCCTGAGCCCATCCCCACCTGTCCCCGGGCCCCTGCCACCCCTGGCTGCTCTCTGCAGGCTGCGGCCCGTGGATGTGGGTTTCATGAAGGCCCTGCACGAGAAGGTGAACATCGTGCCCCTCATCGCCAAAGCTGACTGTCTCGTCCCCGGCGAGATCCGGAAGCTGAAGGAGCGGGTAAGCCTGCTCTGGCAGGCGGGGTGTGGGCTAGGTCTCTGGGACGGAGACCACCAGGCGTGCAGATCCTGGGTGCCAACGCGGCCGGCCCCGGGTACCTGGCCAGCCTCAAATCGGACAGCTCTTGATCCACCACAGATCCGGGAGGAGATTGACAAGTTCGGCATCCACGTGTACCAGTTCCCCGAATGTGACTCTGACGAGGACGAGGACTTCAAGCAGCAAGATCGGGAACTGAAGGTAAGCAGCCTGGTGTGGCATAGGAGGGAACTGGAGATCAGTTTACATGGGGCCAAGCATCCAGGTCCAACCCAGTGGGGACAGGAGTCTTTTGTCTGGCCAGTAGAGCCCCTTCACCTGGGGCTGGGGGGGTACAGTCCCCCAGGTCCCCACTGGCTTGTGCAGTTTGGCCCCATATTGTTCATGTGTCACAGAGCACTCGCCAGGACCCAAAGGCATAGTGCTGGCCAGGCCTCCACTCTGACCCTACTCCTCAGTCTTCTTCCAAGGGGTCACCAGCAGAAGGGTCTGGCCCAGGGCCCAGTGGCCACAAGCCTCCGCATGCCCTGGCTCCCAGAATTCTGAGCTCCAGTGGGTGGCTGTGGCTTTGGGTGCCCCAGGATCTAGAGTGGCAATAACCAAGCCCGACATGGGATAGGCGGCCGCTGGAGCAGCATGGGGCCATTGGCCCCAGCCAAAGTCAGCATCACTAACAGGAGGCACGGGCTCAGCTCTGGGGAGGGATGGCGAAGGGAGCTAGATGGAGCTGTTCCTGATGGGGGTGGTGTCAGAAGGGGAGGGTGTGTCTGGTGGGCACCGCTTAGCGAAGGCCCCTAGGATATAAGCTGTGCTATAGTTCTGGCTTCAGAGAAGCCAAAAGAGTTGGGCAACCCCAGGATCCCTTTGGGGAGAGGCTGTTGATAATGCTGGAGGGGCCAACCAAGTGTGGAGTGCCCATGCCCCTGTTCAGCCACTAACCCCCCATACTCATGCTAAGTGGGCATGAGCCCTTGTACCTGCCCTCCCCAGGAGAGTGCGCCATTCGCAGTTATCGGCAGCAACACAGTGGTGGAGGCCAAGGGGCAGCGGGTCCGGGGGCGACTGTACCCCTGGGGGATCGTGGAGGGTGAGTTCAGACATGGGCATCGCCTAGGGGGTGGGAAGGCTCCCCTGGGCCTGCACCCACCCACCCCCCACTCCTGCCCCACAGTGGAGAACCAGGCACATTGCGACTTCGTGAAGCTGCGCAACATGCTCATCCGCACGCACATGCATGACCTCAAGGATGTGACGTGCGACGTGCACTATGAGAACTATCGGGCACACTGCATCCAGCAGATGACCAGGTGCGCAGCCCTGACCCAGACCTGGATCATGTGCCTCATGGCCCCAGCCGCAGCTCCCTAACAGAGGGCTGGTCCTTGCTGCCCACCCAGACCTGAACTTTGCCCCAACTCCCCAGATAGGCACCCCCCACCATGCACCTTGTCTTCCCAGAGCCAACCCAGCGGTGTGGGAGCTCAGAGGGAGAGGGCCTCAGTAGTGGTGGGTGTCAGACAAACTCTCTCTACCTCTTGTCTGTCCCACAGCAAACTGACCCAGGACAGCCGCATGGAGAGCCCCATCCCCATCCTGCCCCTGCCTACCCCCGACGCTGAGACAGAAAAGCTCATCAGGATGAAGGATGAGGAGGTTAGTAGGGCCACAGGGGAGGAGCAGAGGCTGGTGGGGGGGAGGGGTCAGGCCCTTCCTATCACGTTTCTCACTCCATCCTCCACTATTCTTGCCTCACCTTCAGCTAAGGCGCATGCAGGAGATGCTGCAGAAGATGAAGCAGCAAATGCAGGACCAGTGACCAGCCCCACATTGCCGTGGATAGACTGCCAGTTTCCAGGCTGGCCCTTCCCATCCCTGGACCCCAACTGGCCTGGACTCAACCCTGGAATCATCTGGATCTCCAACAGGCCTGGGCACAACCCCAGTCCCAGAGTGACCCAGACCAGGACTGTTCCCAACTTTTCCTGACCTGACCCAGAGACGCGGGGTCACAGCCCCCAGCCAACCCTAATTTATTCTCAACATCGGTCCCTCCCCTCATTTGTATCTGCTTCCAAGAGGCCTGGAGAGCAGCCCCCCACAGCTGGCCCCCTTTGCCCTTGGGAGAGCAGCAGCTAGGTTGGGGCATGACTTTTAAGATTTACCCCTGCCCTAGAAGGTCATGAACTCCAACTCCAGGCCCTACTCAGGCAGGTGGGTAAAACAAGGCAGAATAGGGGAGCAGATGCCCAGCATACCGGACCTATTTCCCCACCCCAGTGCCGCAGAGTGGACGTGGGAGCCCTCATGTGCCCACTCCCTTGGGCCACCCAGCTTATGCTGAGACCTCACTTTGTGCCGGGGTGGGCCAGGTCCTTCCTCACCTCCTCACACCCTTCCCGGGTAGCTCAGTGGGTGGGTTGGGCAACAGAAGCGCTCATGATCCCTCCAGACTGAAGGAGGGCAGCTGGCTACAGGCAAGGATTTCATGGGGCTGGTGGGCTGGGACGCCTGTGATCGCCCATACTCCTCACCCATGGCTGTGGCCTGGCCTGAGGGATCCAAGAGCAGTGGGTGGTGGGCAGCCTGGCAACCCCCTATCCCTAGACTGCCATTCCCTGCCTGTGGCTGGAGGTTCCTTCTCCCCAGCAGCACTGTTGCCCTGAGTTCCCTAGCCCATCCTCCCCCAACCCCCCACCCCCCACCCCCAGCATGATACCTTCCCCCAAACCCCATTCTCCAGTTTTGTTCGGTTGTGAATGCTGCGTCCTGTCCTGGTGACAGGAGAACAATGTTGGTGAAGTCACATCGGTGTCAGAGTGATTCGTGCGCCCCTGGGAGTTTGTTGGGGCGGAAGCCCTGGCGGCCTGCGGGCCCTGGTGATAGGGCTCTATCTGGGGCCGCAGGGCCTGTCCCCTCGGCCGCCTCCGGGTTATTTCTGGGGGATGGTTGCGCTGTGGTCGGTTTGGCGGGGGCACTGGGGCCTGGCAGGGGCGGGGCGGCCTTATCACCTGGCTTTCCAGCCAAGGCTTCGCGCTCCAGAGCAAGCCGGGTCACCATCCTCTCGCCATGGGCTCTGGTGAGTCTGGGGTCAGGCAGGGCCCGGGCTGCGCTCCTTGAGCTGAGTCGGGTTGGGAGGCGCTGCCGGAGAGAGATTTGGGTCGGACTTCGAGGGGACCTCTAGCCAGCGCGCGCGAGATGATGGAGATGGAGAGGCTTGCGGGCAGTAGGGGGCTCGGGGGTGGGGGGCGGGGGAGCGGCTGGAGCCGGGCCCAGCGCTCCGGGTGCACAGGGACCCGCTCAGGTGCCCCACAGGCCGCGGGCTCACTACGGCGCTTTCCTTCCAGGGCCGCGCGGGGCGCTGAGCCTGCTGCTCCTGCTGCTCGCGCCGCCCCGCTGCCCCGCCGCGGGCTGCCCGGCACCGTGTGACTGCGCGGGGACGCGCGTGGATTGCGGGCGCCGCGGGCTGACGTGGGCCTCGCTGCCCGCCGCCTTCCCGCCGGACACGACCGAGCTGGTGCTGACGGGCAACAATCTGACGGCGCTGCCGCCGGGACTGCTGGACGCGCTGCCCGTGCTGCGCACCGCGCACCTGGGCGCCAACCCGTGGCGCTGCGACTGCCACCTGGTGCCGCTGCGCGCCTGGCTGGCCGGCCGGCCGGAGCGCGCGCCCTACCGCGACCTGCGCTGCGCCGCGCCCCCCGCTCTGCGCGGCCGCCTGCTGCCCTACCTGGCGGAGGACGAGCTGCGCGCCGCCTGTGCGCCGGGCGCGCTCTGCTGGGGGGCGCTGGCGGCGCAGCTCCTGCTGCTGGGCCTCGGGCTGCTGCACGCGCTGCTGCTGACGCTGCTGCTGTGCCGCCTGCGCCGCCTGCGCGCCCGCGCCCGCGCCCGCGCCGCGCACCCGTTGTCGCTGACGGCCCCGCTGGTGGCGGAGGCGGCCGGGGCCAGCGAGTCTCGAGAGGAGTCCTGAGAAGCGCGGAGCGACGCGGGCGCGCCGACCCGACGGAACCCTCCCGCGGGGGCCCCTGGCGCCAACGGGGGCCGGGTCTCGTCCTCCGCCTGGGCACGATTGCCGAGAGCCCGTCGCCACCCCCCCAACCCCCGGCTGCAGGCCCCGGGCCGAGCGCGCCCCACTGCTGCGTGCCCGCCGCTTCGGCCCCGGGCCGCAGAGCCAGGGCAGGGGCGGTGAGCTGCAGCCCACCGCGCCTGCGGGGGTTCGCCCGCACCCCCGCGCCAAACCCCAGCGCAGAATAAAGCCTTCTCTCTATCTAACTGGTCTCTGCGCCCCGCCACCCGGAAATTGCCCTCCGCGAAGCGCAGGAACGGCCCGGGGAGGCGGTTCAAGGGGACGCATCACGTCTTTGTACACCCAAAATAACTGCCGGCCAAACACGGGGACAGCGAGTTAAATCGCCCGGACCACTCGCTCTCCCAGAAGTTCAAGTGGAAAGCACAGATGAACTCGGACAGTGACAACACTGTAGGGTGGGGAGGACACTGCGGGGAGTGAGGACAGTGTGGGAACAGTGAAGACACTGTCAGGACACTTCAGGGAGCAAAGACACTGTGGGGACAATGAAGACAGTGTTAACAATGAGGACACCAGGGACAGCAAGGATACTGGGGACAACGAGGACGCTGAGGCCAGGACACTTGGGACAGTGAGGACACTGTGGGGACAGTGAAGACCGTGGATAGTGGGGACAGCAAGGATACTGGGGACAACGAGGACGCTGAGGACAGGACACTTGGGACAGTGAGGACACTGTGGGGACAGTGAAGACTGTGGATAGTGGGGACAGCAAGGATACTGGGGACAACGAGGACGCTGAGGACAGGATACTTGGGACAGTGAGGACACTGTGGGGCAGTGAGGACACGAGACAGTGCAGACCACAGGGACACTGAGGGCACTACACGGCGGTGTGGTGTGAGAGAGAGAACGGATGTTTGCAGTAGCAGTCTCGGGGGCTCAGTGAGGGGCCGTGGAAAGGCTCTGAGGACTGTTCAAGTGTGAGTGGCCGTGACCGTGCCATGTGAGCCGCTTTCAGGATGGTCAGGGCTGGACTGGGGGTGGTGAGGACGGTCTGAGGGCCCACGGAACTCCCTGGGCATCTGAATTAGAAGCTCAGCCTCTGAGGCAGGTCCCTGCAGGGGTGAGTGGGTACCAGGGGGTTGCATGGTATCTGGAATCGTGTCCTGCACTTGGCTGCCACTTCCCACGGGAAGGTGCCTCTGACTGCCTAGACCAGCCTTAGTCCCTGAACCCCAGGCGGAGAGCCAGGGCCTGGGACTCCCCCGGGGTGCCCCAGCAAGGCAGAAGCTGCTAAGAAGGGGCCTGGGGTGCCCAAATGAGGGCCTGACGCTTTCCTCACTCTTGGAGTCCTGCTCCCACCCTCGTGTGGCCCCCACCTGGCTGACCCTGTAAACAATAAAGGCTGCTCTCCATGGACCCCAAATAGGACCCTGACAAGAAGCCTCAGGCCTGGGCCTGGGGTGCCTGGCACAGGAAGGCTCTGGCCCCCACTGACCAGGTCGGGGAGGCTGCCGCTGACATGGCCTTTGTCCCAGTCTTTGTGGGACAAGATGGATGACCCTCCGGTTGGGCTGATGCTATCTCGGGGCTGCCAGTCAGACATGAGGCAGGAGGCAGCCCCTCCTTTGTGGGCAGGTGCGGGGCATCCGGCCCATTGTGGGCTGCGGCCGACTGTCCAATTGTCCATCCGGCCTTATCACCACATCAGGGATGGTGGCCCCTTTTGTACAAATGAACTGCCCCCTCCCCACCCCCAGGAGTGGCTCAGCACACTCAGAGCCCCTGGTAGGGGTCAGAGGTAACAGTCGTTGTCACAGCAAGCTACACAGGCAACCTCCCAACTCAGTCCCAACATGGTACAGGGAGAGAGTGTCCCCCTTACTTTCCAGAGGAGGAACCCAGGTGCCAGAGAGGGGTTCTCCTGCGAAGCCGGAGCTACCTCCACAGCTGCACAGGGAGCAGACCTAAGACCAGGCCCCTAGGGCCCCTCTCTCTTCCTCCTCACTGAGGCCTTCAGGCGGCAAATGCAGGGCCCAGGAGAAAATGACCCGGTGTCCTAGGTGACCCCAAGCTCAAAGAAGGCGGCCCCCCTGGGCTGTGAGGCGAGGCTCCAGCAGGAACTATGGGGAAGGGTCAGTAGAAGCCCAGGCCCGCTGCCCACTGCCCACAAGCTTGAGGGCTTCTGGGCCAGTGTCCAGCTGAGCGGGTGGGTACACAGCCCTGAGAGCCTAGAGCTGCAGAAGCCGCTGGAGCTTCTCTGATGGAGGAAAGAGGCTGGCATCACAGTGCGGTCAGACCTAAGGAAGAACGTCCTTATTCCCTGGTAGATAGGGCAGAGGAATTCCATGGTTTCTCCAAGATTCCCTCTCTTTTGCCAATTCTCCATGATTTAGATTGGCTTCTGCCAAGGTACTGAGCACAGAGGGTGCTGGCCTGGCCTCACTGGCTAACCTTTTCCAGGCTGCCTGGGAGCCCCCAAGCCCGACTTCTGACCCCGAGCTGACCCTCCATGCACTGACCCTGGGGCCTCAGCTTCCAAGGAGTGTGGAGAAGAGGATGGTCCCAGCTCAGCGCCCCTGAATGGCCCGGTGCTGGGAGGGGAGTGTGAACATCTCTACCCCAGCTCAACCGCCTATCAGGACCCTCCCCCCAGCACTGTCCTCCAACTAATGGACAACATACCTGCCCCAGGCTCTGTTCCCCACTGACAGTCTGGCCCTCGCTGTGGCCTCAGACTCCTTCCAGATGGGAACAAGGCGGTGACCACTCAAGGAGCTACCCATCCCCCCCCACACCTCCAGTCCTCAGGCTGGCTGATTCAGGGCCCCTTGTCCAGCAGCCCAAGGGTCCTCTGACCACACCACTGCCCACCCCGGAGCAGGGGCAGACACAGCCGGGACCTCCCGCCGGTAGCTTTCGTGTCCTTGTCTGTGAAATGCGTGGGTGCTGCGTGGGTTGAGAACCTCCCGCCCCAAACCGGCATCCAGTTCTCCCCTCACTCGCCAAGACCCCGGGAGGCCACCAGAGGGCGCGCGCGGTCTGCGGAAACGGCCCGCGTGGGGCTAGGGCGGCCGAGGTGCGCGCCGCTTGTGCAGGCAACCAGGGTCCCCGGAGAAACAGAGGCCAGGAGTGGGAGGATTGGCCCAGGCTGGTGGGGGTGGTCGCCGACTCGGCGGACGGGTCGCACCCCCACCCCCGTGGGAATAGGGAAGGGTGCAACGAGCGGCCGCTAACAGACGGCGAGGGGTGAGCGCGCTCCTTCTGCATCCCTCCCCTCCCCTCTCCTCCCCTCCCCTCCTCTCCCCACCCGTCCCCTCCCTCCCTCTGATCGCTGACAGCCCATCAACCGGGAAGATAAGGGACCTCTTCCGCCGGGCGGAGGGGGTGTCAGCCCAGGTGCACCATCCGCCCTCCCGCCGCCTGTTTGCTCAAACACTTATTGAGCCCCTGCTGTGTGCACCGCGGCGGGACTGGAAGGAGCTGCTGCGGGCGGACGTGGAGGGCGACTGTGAGGTGCAGGCCTCAGCAGCTTCTGCTGAGGATACCGGGTGGGGACGGTAGAGCGCGCACCCTGCCACCCCGGGGGGAGTGGAACAGAGGCTGCGCCACCACCTCCGAACCAACCTGGGGGCGGGGTGTGTGTGCGGGTCCTCCGTGGGCCCCCTCCAGCCTAGGGAGATGAGCGGGAGCCTGGGGAGGGGGGCGGCCCCTCACTGGGCAGAGACTTGAGTGGGGCCCGCGTGGACGAGGCCCTGGGAAGGTCTGGAGGGGCCTAAGCTCTGGCCACGTTGTGGGGGGGCCACACCCGCCGCCCAGACAGAGCAACAACATTGGGGTGGGTGGCGGGGCCCTGGGGGCCCATAGCTCACCGCACCGTCTGCGCCCACCCCCGGCGTTTCCGATGGAAGACAGGCAGCAGGCGATAAATCACCGGCTCCCACTCCCACCCACCCAGGCTGCCTTGGGGAAGGGGGGCTGCATGTGACAGAGACAGAGCTTAAGACAGAGACAGAGAGACAACCACAGAGAGAGACAAAGGCAGCTAGGGCTGGCCATTTGACACAGGCCAGGTTCCTTTGCTCAGGGTGTCTGGCCTCCCACCCCCAGGTGCCCCCTCCACCAGTCCCATCTGGAAACCAGCTGAGAGCCACCCCACCCCAGCCGACCCCCAACAGGGAGGAGGAGGAGGGAGGGAGCAAGGCCTTAACAGCCATAACTCTGTCCACCCTGGAGAACCATAAATCAGCGGGGTGCTCTCGGGAAGCACTCCCCCGCTAGGCTGAAGGGGTCTTTGGGGTCATTGGTCCTGGTAACTGGGCCTGGCCTTAGCTGTTTTGTCCCTCCCTCCTTCAACGGCCCCTGGGGGAATCCCCCAGGCCCACTTCTGTTTTTCCCCAGCGCAGTCACATGCCCAGAACCCTCTACACCCAGTGCTGTCTCCACTGGAAGCACTCTCAGCGTGCCCATCTTCTCTGCGCACAGACAGGAACCGTCTGCCAAGGATGACATCCTGTCCTATCAGGAGAGCCCCTGGGCTGGCCCTGCAGGATCTGGGGGTCAGCCGTCCTCCCCCGAGAAGCCCTCCCAGGGGGTCTGCTCTGCCCCAGAGGAAACACTGTCCATCCCTCCTTCTGTCCTGCTTTCCTGTCACCACCACCCCACAGGGTGCTGAGGGCCAGCTGCACAAAGTGTGCTGAGAGATGGACCAGGTGGGGACGCCTCCACGGGTGTGAACACCCCCGGGGGCGTCAATATTCAGTGGGCAAAACCTGAGAGAGCCTGTGGGAGTGCTCCCAAGACTTGTGGGGTGTTCCAGGCCCCCAGTTCCAGCCACTGGCATGAGCAATCCCTGCCCCAGGGGTCCGTCCAGCATATCACCCCTCAGGGCTCACGTGGCAGAAATAAGACCACTTGTACACAAAAGAAACAAATGTCCACCATGAAATCTCTCAAAGAGCAGTGGGAGCAGGGACAGGGGCTTCCTTCAGAGCTCCTGAAATTCTGTGCCTGAGAAGCCCTGGGCCTCGTTATGTGGACGATCCTCTTGACCCTCAGAACAAGCCTGAATGCCCCAGCCTTGGGATATCAAAAGCACTGACAGTGTGTGTGTGTGTGTGTGTGTGTGTGTGTGTGTGTGTGTGTGTTGGCGGGGAGGCTCCTGGGGATGTTCAGGCTGAGGGAACAGCACTGTGCTGCCGGAAGACGCCTGTCAGG